GAGCAGGGCAGACTGGTGGGTTGCGGCGGGGACCGGGGCCTGGCACCCCCCGGTCCAGCGGGCAGCCCCCAACCACAGAGTGTCAGGCCCCCGACACCCACTCCGCCCGCCGCCTCCCTCCTACTGCGGTAAGAACTCCTTCTGAGTAAACCCCGAGTGAGCTATCCAGGGGCAACATTCAGGTCTTCTGAGGCTTGAAGCTTCAATAATTTGGGGGCCTTTGTAAGGAAAAAAGGAAAAAAAAAACAACTAGGAACAGGAAATTAGGCCCCGCCCTCCGAAGGAGTGCCCACCAAGGGGCACGGCCAGTGGAAGCTTCACTGGCCTCACGCTCAAAAGCCACCTCTGGTGTCCTTCTGAGACCCTGACTGACGCGGTCCCCAACCTTTCCCGCTGGGTGGGGTAGAAGGCCGCAGAGTCACCTGCGAGAGAACCCTCACCTACCTGGTCCAAATCCAAAGGAGAAGGCGCTCACAAAGACCATCAAACAGACCAGCGCGGCCCAGTGCAGGAGGACGCGCTCTGGGGCAGAAGGGGGTGCCGGGGAGGCGGGGCTTAAGGTCGGCAGGGCCGGGGCGGTGGGGTCCCCAGCTCCGGGAGGAGGCTGGGTCGTCTCAGAGGTCGACAAGGCCGGCCTCCCTTGGTTCTCACTCGTTGTCGGCGGTGGAGGGGGAGCCATGGCCCTCGGCAGGCCGGAGTCCCCAGGGAGGCCTGACAGCCTGGTGGCATTGGGCACGGCCAGGCAGCTTGGGCCGGAGGCCATGGGCACGGCAAAGCTGACAAGGCCTATGCCGCTGACCGACAGGGCCATGAGGGCACAGCCGGCCAGTAACAGGGCCCTGCGGCCCGCTCGGTCCACCAGCCCCATGGCAGTCAGGGTCGCCAGCACCTTCACGGCCCCGAGTCCCACAGAGGCCAGCACCGCGGAGGAGCCTCCCCGGAAGCCCACCGCCTGGAAGATGGTGGAGGCGTAGGACAGCACATTGGGCTGCCCCGTCAGCTGCTGGAAAATCACCAGCCCCAAGCCCACGGCGGTCCGGCCTCGCATGTTCTCCCGCGCCCTGAAGAGGTCCAGGAGGGAGGATCTTGGCCTCGCCAGGCCCAGCTTGGAGGTCCCACCTCCCTGGAGAGGAACGAGGTCCTTGGGCGCTGGAGTCTCGGCGGTGCCAGCAGGGAGATAAAGGAGGCTGAGGGACTGTAGGAGGGCAGGTGCAGCGGCCCAGCTGAACATACGCCTCCATCCCCAGGGGGCGCCAGCCAGGGCGTAGTTGAGTGCGTAGGAGAGCAGGATGCCCGCGGTGACGCCTGCCTCGTAGAGGGACACCAGCACGCCCCGCTGCCGCGGCCCCACCAGCTCTGACACATAAATGCAGCAGGCCATGGAGGAGAGAGAGATGGCAAATCCAGCGGCCAAGCGCCCCAGGACCAGCCAGGCCAGGGAGCCGGCCAGGCCTAGGCTCAGGCTGCCCGCCAAAAGCACCAAGTTGCTCCCAAGGATGGCTCGTTTCCTGCCATACTGGTCGATGAGGACGCCGCCCACCAGGGAGGCCAGGAGAGCCCCCAGGAGCAGGCTGCCCACCAGGAGCTCCTGCTCCGAGCAGGACAGCCCGAAGTCCAGCTGCAGTGGCAGCAGGGCACCCGATATGACTGCCAGCTCATAGCCGAAGGTCAGGCCACCCAGCAAAGACACAGAGGCACACAGGGGCAGGAGCAGTTGGGGACGGCCTGGAAAACAAAAGTGACAGGAGCAGAGTTCAGGACGGCTCCTTGCCAGAGCATCCGTCCGTCCAGCTTCCCCTCCATCTGTCAACCCCTCCATCGGTCCATCCAGCTACCCCATCAGTTACCCGTCCATCCATCCGCCCACCCATTCATTCATTCATCCACCCATCCCCTCCCCCCTTCACCCGCCCACCCCTCCACCCATCTGCCGT